TGTATCTGAGCATACACATGATTTTGCAGATTGGAAAAAAAAATACCGCGCAACAGAAAACCGAAAACGCAAGAGAAACTGACAAAAATTTTCATGATTTGTTTTCGCTCGCTATTGAGGCGCACAGTCCTCATTTTACCTCCTCTTTTTCTGTACCGGTTTTTAGTTTTTAGCAAGCTGGAAAACGCAGTAAGCACAATGAATCAAGAAAGCAAAAAGACCAGATAAAATTCACGCAGAAGTCCAAGCAACAGATGAAAAAGGCCGGCAAGTGCAAGATGAAGAAAGTCGAAAAAACGGAAGAAATTCTGGGGAAAAAGCACGAAAACGTCGCAACTATCGTCCAATATGATTGCTGTACTCATGGGTAAAAAACTTTTTTGCTGGAAAATCGCTAACTTGAATCCAGGAAAGCTAAAAAGCTGAAATTTTAAGGGGGATTTTCCCAGTTCATAAACAACTGAAATTTATCAAATTTAACTCCCAGGCATGCGTGGCTCTCACGTACGGCCTAATTTACATTCAGACCGAAATGGCCTCGTAGAAAGCTAAGAAGTAATCTGAAAGCGATTTTCCACTAACGACTAGATTTTCACAGTGCAGCAGCTGCTAGTAAGAAAATGCAAGGAATAATAGTTTATTTTTATAATTTGCCAATTTCATGAAGGTTTTCGTTTTGGTCAAAACTTCTCAGAACAAGGATTCAATTCGTTGTACACAGACATCAAGCTATAGTCAGAAATGGTGTTTTTTCAACGGACCCAAGAGGTACGAAGCAAAGTTTGTTTCTCTCGCATACGTCAATTCGTTTTTGGTTTGTTACTCTTCTATATTTTCTCCCTTCTCTAACTTTCCTCTACCTCTTCTCTCTTTCTCAGACAATGACTGCTAGGAATGGACACGAGCATTTTGGAGGTTTGGGATTCTAAAGCATTTTCACACGCTAAATAAATGATTGTATCATGTGAATAAGCTGTACTATGAAGAGTATGATAATAACACTGATGTAATGTTAGCCGAAAAAAAAAATAAATAGCAACGCGCACCAGACCAGCCGGTGTGATCATGCGTTTTGTGCAATTCAGCCCATCGAACGACTGCCTATTAATGATTTTCACTGCTCTGTACTTTTGTCTATGCAAAAATAGTTCAAAAATTAGAAAATAGTTAAAAATTTCACGTACCAGCGCAAGAAAGCTGAATTCGAAACCTTGAAGGGTGAATATCTTTCCGTGATTCCCTGGTTAATAGTTTAGCCACCAAAATTCTCACGAGGCCGTAGATGATACTCAACAGCGAGAGACTGCTGAATTTGAATAGGCAAGGTTGTGCGTGGGCAGGGGGTCATTACTGTAAAATTTCAGCCTCCTAGACTCCGTGGTTCCTGAGATATTATTTTACCCGTAAAAAACTTTCACTAGCCCATAGGTGATACCCGAGAGTGCGGGAACGCTGAATTTGAATGGGCAGGGTTGAGCGTGAGCAGAGGGTCACTGCCATAAAATTTTAGCCTCCTAGACTCCGTGATTCCTGAGATATTAATTTACCCGTAAAAACTTTCACGGGGCTGTACGAGTTACCCGCGGGTACGGGAAGGCTGAATTTAAACTTGCCGCTCACCCGTTGGCGGGGAACACCAAAATTTCAGCCGCCTAGCTTTTGTGATTCCCGAGTTGAAAGCGCGGGACAAAAATGTGGGACACACACACAGGGACAACTCCGTGACAATACGCGTTTTATAACGCTGTTACACAGCAAAAAACGCATAAAAGCTGGCCACTGAAGTGATCTCTGATGGCCAGGAGAGACAAAAAAGCTCTTCACTTTTCCTCCTTGCCCCGTCTCCACTTCAATAAGCAGATCCCAGTGATTGAAAAGATCGCGAATTGGACTCACGTTCGTAGGGATGCCCGTACATGTGGACCCAATCATCATCATCATCGTCATCGTAGTCCTCGTCATCCTCACTGTTGTTCTGCTCATCGATGATTTGCTGCTTGCTGATCAATTCCCAGTTATCCTCACTGGCTGCTGCTGCCATTTTGACACCCGTTGCTGCTCCTGAAACTTTGCAAAAGCGTGATTCAAGACAG